CCCAGCCCAGAAAAGGGCTGTTATTACTCCAGCCCTGGAGTAATAACCTTTTTTCCCACATGCACATGTGATCTCTAAACAAGCTCAGTTATTGATGCCCACGCACTGGTAGATTTTGGGGCCAGGGTGCTTTTATTTTTCACCTGACCCCAGCAGTGCTGCAGGGTGACAGTCCTTGCTGTCATTGTGGACAGGGAGGTCACTGTGCCACTCTGGCTGTGCCACACACACAAAGCAGCCCACGCTCACTCCCAGAGCTATAAACCTTCCTCTGCAACCCTGCTGCCTTTCCTCTCCATAACACACAGACCAAGAAACCCAGCTTGTCAGAAATGAAAGTGTTTCGGGAGATTAAAATGTAAATGTTGCACTCGGCTTTTCAGAGGGGGTTTGATATTTTACTTGTGACTCTGAGAGGAAATAGATTTTTGATAACTCTGCGGAACTGCTGCTGCCCAGCCACTGCTGCAAACAGCCAAAACCTTAATAAATAAATCCTCTGTCAACTGGCTTGGAAAACCAACTTGCTGGTGGTTTCAAGAAATATTGGGAATTTCAAAGCAGTCTTGCACAAGGAGACCTGTAATTACAGCAGCCTCTCCTACACTGCCTGAGTTTGAGAGGAGAAGGGGAATGCAGTGTCATCTTTGACAGTGCTGGCAATAAACACTATACATGAATTTTTTACTATGTTTATTAACTTGAAAATTTGGGGAAGGGCCATGTCAGTTGTCATGCTTTGCACTCGGTATGGCCCACAAATGGGACACTGAAAGGGAATGTGAAAATAATTCAGCAAAAATTCTGGCCTGGCTTGCCTCTAATTTGCAGCCTCATCTCCTTGGAAAACCTGCAAAAAGGTCTGCCTGAGCCCAAAACTAGGTCCCTCCCAAGGCAATCTTTTTTCTTAACTTTACATGGTACATCCAGGAGTCTTTTCTCTGGATTCTCTGAGTCTTCAGAATCTTGCACCACCCTCAGCACTCACTGCCATGCACAGCTCTGGCTCTGTGCTAGCAGAGACATGACACCATGGTCTGTGCATTATCCAGGCACCTTGTTGATCCAGACTGCTGTAAACACCGGGAAAACTCAGGAAAAAAGTAATCAGGAGGAGTTTGCTGACTTTCTGCTGAACACCAAAGCTCTTGTCCACCCACCAGTGTGGCCAGAACTGGGTTGCTGGGATTTTTGCATCCCCAGTTAGCACCTATTTAAATAGTTGAACCTCAGTATAAGAAGTTCTTGGCTCAAGGCTCTCAGATGAAAACTACAACCACATAAATATTCACAGCTTTATTACCAAAAAAATCATGAGTTTAAATTAACTTTTTTTCTGTAATACATGAAATAACCTGAATATCACCACCACACATGTAGGCCAACAGTGCTCGGAAATGATCAGCAAGGCAAGAATCACTCATAGGATTAATTTGGAAAATAATTTCAAACAATTGAGAGCCATATGAAAATGAACAGACCACACATTAATAGAGCTTGAGCCTGCTCTGTAAACTCAGCTACTCACTTTTTATCCCTTAAGTAAACTAGGAAGAGTAATGTATTTATAGCCTCTTGACGTAAGTAGCCTCAGTGAAATATTGTATGTAATAAATATTCTGCCATCTCAGAGAGCCTATAGGACAAAGCGGTACCAAGGTACTGCAAAGGCAAACTGTATGTGGCTAACGAGTCTTGGTGAGCTGCCAGCCAGCTGAAAACACTGCAAATGAGAGAAAGCAATGAAAATATACACTTTATTAATATAGGGGAGAGTTTTATTAACACAACCGCAATGCGAGGGCACTGGGTAAGGAATTTTGCCTTTCAGCTTTGCAGGGTGCCTTTAATCACTCCTTTCAACCATCACCTTGGAGTTTGCTCAGCTTTATCCCAGTGTTTTGTTGTTCGTCAGTCATTTTCTCCACTGATTTTTCCCCCCCTTTCTGTTGCAAGGATCATAAGATCTTGGCCCCCTTTCCCTGCCCCGCGCTGCCAGCATTGCTTTTTATCCAATTACAAATTACACAGTGCATCTGCATTAAAACAAAATGTGTTCATCGCCAGTTTTAAATAAGGATGTCATTTGTAAATGCTTTATTCATAATTAATGGAATTATTACTGGGTGCAGCCACATTCTTCATCCATGTACTGTAAGATATGTTGTAAAGTGCATTAGTAAAAAGCTTTATAGATGAGGATATGACAACCTGACTGTGAAGCACATTATGTGATGTACTGTGGCTGTTGTTGTAACAATCTTTATGCAAGATTTTAAGCTATCGGTCAGCCAGGGGCTGATTGATAGTGTAAATGTTAATAATTAATAATAGGATAATGTTGATAACTGTGATTCTATGATGAGTATGGATTTTTTTAGTTAGAATTATGCTAATATGCATTATTCACTGAATCATGAAATCACATTAGAGATGAGAAAGTCTCTCTGGCTTTCCCCATTCATATCACTGACAAGTCAATGCTGCTCTTTCCTAACATTTCCAAAGCAGCTCTTTTCATCTACCTTCCTACATGAAATCTATAAGTTAAGAAGTATATTTTAAAACAAACCTAGAGCTCTGAATATATGCTAACCAGAGTGACATGTAAAGTCATGGCCTTCAACAACCTGCCTGGGAGACCCCAAATCTGAGGGACCCTCTGCTAGGTTTACAAGAAAATAGTTCAAAATGAAGGAATTTCCACTGCAGATTCTTTTCACTTTGGCACTTGAAGCCCTCTGAAATTTAAAGCCCCCAGGCACACTTACCTTGTACAGTGGGTACAGGAACATCCTTGAGCTGATGAGCGACAGGTAACATAAGTGAGGTGTGAAGACACAGGAGAGAGAACTAGAGAGCTGCAAGGCTCAACAGTGATGTCATTTTTTCAGCTGACATTATCGTTTTTTATTTACTAGACAGGATGAAAACAGGTATTACGTCAGGTCGGGAGAAGTGAATGCCAGCTTGCTGCTGGGCACAGACTCCTCAGAGGATGTCATATGCCAATAGCAGCCTCAAAACCAGGATTTAGAAATGGATATGGCGTAATGGCCCCTGGGATACGCTGGATTCCAAGGCTCCCAGCGGGGAAATCTCCCCTTCTCCACCCAGCAACATTGTCTCCATTGCCTGTCTCACGGCTGCCCTTGCAGGACCAGAGATTTAATTTTTCCTTCTCCAATTTCAAAGACTAAGATGCAGGAGAGCTCCTTCCTGGTACTCAGCTGCTTGCAGATAACCTAAGCCAAAGGCATCAAATATACTGAGCTCCCTGGCATTTTCCTGCCAGCACGGTGTCCAACGAGGAGGGGTGTGCTCCATGCACCCCCTTAATGACATTTTAATTCCTTAAACTGTGCTAACACCCACCCAGCTCTCTGGCAATGCGGGAACGCAGCTTATGGACTAGTGTGAGAGTAATTTTTAGGGAGAAAGTGCTAGTTAGTGCAGGAATTTTCCTGTTAAGGAAATTATTATTGGTAGCTTTTTCTTAGAGAGATGAGAAAGCTCAGAGCTGATCACAGGTTGCCTTTCTTATCCCTCTTCCCTCCCCACCTCTCAGATTCTGTGTTTGGGTCTTCAACGTTTTTATTTCAGATAAATCCGCAAGCACATTTCCAGGTGGATGTCACCAGGATCCACTTCCTCCCGGCCCACAGACAGTCTGTCTCTTATCTCCCTTACATTAGTATCAATTATTTACAGCAGGAATGCTAAATCATGAAAACAAAGTTGCAGCAAAGCTCTGCCTTGGCTGAGTACCCCACACTGGTTGCAGCTTCCAGAGCCCCTGTGCTACTTGTGCTTGTCCTTGCAGAGAAACAGCCTTGATTTTTTCCCCCTTTCACAGCCACAGAGAAGAGCAGTGTCTGGGCACCCACAGCCCATGTTGTTCAGGGGTGTAAAAATCATAAAGGAGTGCATTGAGCAGCATGTCTGTAGGGAAAGCTGAGGTCATGGTGCATAGGACTTGGAGCAGCACAATACTTGTCATAAGGTTTCCTTTGATGCTTCTTTTCCCTCCTTCCAAAACCACTTCCTGACACTGGAAAGTAACATTTGGAGGAAGAATCCTCTCCAGTCCATGAAACTGGTCAGTGATGGAGCTGACTCCCCAAAACAGGGTGCAACCAGTCTGCCTGGGGGCTCACCATCCCTTTGTTGCCATTTCCCTCCTCCTTGCCGCGGGTATAATCTCTCTCCTGGGACCCCATAATATGGGGGGAAGAAGCTCGTCCCCCACTCGTGGTAGCTGGTGCCCCAAGCTTTGAACAGTTCTCACACTCAGTCACTGATGAGCTCCTTGAATGACTGAGTGCATAAAGGCTTTTTTTTTTTCTTTTTTGAGCAATAGTATTTAAATATGACTAACTAAAATCTCTGTTAAGTGAGGGTATTATACAGCTTAGGACAGTATAAATAAAAGTTTCTGGGTTCTGTTCATGTCTGTGCTTTTTGGATACAGAACAGCAGAAGTACTTTACCCCTGTTGTTAAGTTCACTGCTAAGTGAGGTGATGCTTACACCCTTGACCTTGGAACACTGCCTACATTTATATTTCCAGTAATTCTCAATATTTTTCAGATAAATCCCTGCTTGCTCCAGGGAAGCTGTCCTTTCCTAGGTTTGGTTCAACTGCTTATCCAGCACATTCCCACTTTGTTCATTACAGCTCACAAAAGTGAAAAGAAACCCCCAAGAAAATAAAAAGAACAAATAAACCTTCTGAAACCTGGTTGTAGAGAATATTCAGAGAATGAGGAGATCCTCTGAGTAAAGTCAGAGCCAAAAGATGCTGAGCAAGCTGGTCTTGACCCATGGTGGGCAGCAAAGCTCCAAGCCTAGAACACAGATCCTTAAAGGGATCCTCCAGCCACCAGTGGCCAGTGCAGCCCTGGAGGGGTGATTTTGGGCACCTTTGAGCCTCCATGGCAGTGTGCAGTGGTTGTGATCCATGCTGTGGTCATGACAAGGGGCTGGAGGACAGGGCTTACCTTGGTTGGAGTTTTCAATTGCTCAGAAGACACTGCTGGAGATGGAAACCTTCAGCCCCAAATAAGATGGGTTGACCCACTTTGGCTGGTGCTTTGCTGTTGTCCATGGGTGTGATTTTGGGCAAACACAGGGGTCACTCGTGGAGAAGAGGTATGAAGGGGAGGACAGAAGAAAAGGGAAGGGTGTTTTAATTCTAACTTGCTTTGAGTCACTTCATTAGCCCTGACCCCGTTTGACCCTTTTACTGTTATATCAGCCTAACTGTTTATTTTCCTCATAAAACTAAACCAAATCGATTACCTCCATCTCAAAGCCCTTTATGTGTCTCGGCGCCCAGGAGCGGCCCTGCTGTTAGCAAAGGGCCTAATGCAAAGGCAATCTTTGGGAAACAGGGACAGTTCAGAGCAGACACCAAGCCAACCTCCCCATCTTCCTCCTTTTCCCTGATTAAGCTTTGTCTCTTGCATTTAAAAGAGAAACTCTATTTATTTTAAAAATAGCTGCACAATGTTATCTCTATAAATGTGCGTGGTGTGTTTCTGTTTTATGCATCTATACAATCAATAAACTGTGTCTTGCTGGGGATTTAAATATTAGTCTTCAAAATCCAGGTCTAGAGCAGCAGATTTATTTGTATGAACACATGCCCTTTCCTGCTTAAGGAAGGATATTAATTATAGATGCAAACCCATAAATCTCCTGGCTTTAGGTGAGATATTTGCTGGATTATAAATATGAATTGGAGATGAGGGTCCTGCTCTTCCTATTATTACTATTATTATTACTTACTGGTTATTATTTTCTGCATGATCTGTATCTTCAGGTGGGTCAAACACCACTGGGGAATGGGGAGCTAAGCCTTCAAAGGGTGCACACATGTTGAATTCATTAAAAGGTTTTCTATCCCAGCCTTGCTCTCGGCTGCATTTCACAGTCGGGTGAGTCATTAAACACCCTGTTCAGGTCCTTTCCCCTCCTCTCCGTCCTGCTTTTGGTACCTCATTTCATTGTACTGCTTTTGCCTGATCATATCAAGCTCCCTAATGTTTATTAATGATGTCCTGTGCATCCTACTGACGATGTGCTATTGTTTCTGAGGTTCTGCTTCAACACCAATCTCGGAAAGCAGCCAAACCAGGAGCCACTAGAGACCCCAATATCACCCAGAGCTTTGTCATAGGGGACAATTTTCTTCTCCCCCATTTATTATGGTAGATCTGGGAACATCAGTAATAAGCCACAAGGGCTTGGTTGCCCAAGGAGCTGAGCACCCTGAATAACAACTGGAGGATTTGTTTCAGGTGGGACGTGGGAGCTTTGATGTGACAATTATGAACAGTCCTGATGCTGCTCAGCACCTCCCAGGGCAGGGCTGGGGGAGCCTCACTACACATTGCCCCAGAGCTGGTGAACTGAGTGTCTCAAGTTAATTCAACACCAACTGAGGCAGGAGTGCACTGCAGTGGATCTCACAGACTTTATCACATGCTCCAGAGCCAGGAATGCCAACTAAGGAGAGTCAAACTGAAGACATCACTGATGGTCTCAGGGCTCGCTGCATTTGTCCCTGTTTCCCTGCTGATCTGCTACTCCAGCCATGCTGGTTGCTCTGTGGTGCATCAAACTCCAAACCAACCAGATGACAAATGCAAAGGACTGGATGTTCACCAGCATTAGCAGAAGCAAAAGGCATGGAGTTGCTCCGGTGTGCACCAGGAAGGATTCTTAAATGTAGCTCTGGCAGGTGCAGCACCACAGCAGGCTGCTGACCAAAAGAGAACACGTAGTGGGATTTCAAAATAAAAACATGTAACATCCTACCCTGAAATTAATAGGCCCTTATATGCCAGGTCTGTAAAGACAGGGCTCTGTATAAGGTCTGCTTCTTTGAATTAGAGTCCTGTGCTTAAATAGATTAAGTGAGCTGTCAGTATATTAAATGATTTAATGCCTTCTTCAGTTTTGCAGTGGAATCCTAATGAAAATACTCTTCAATATAAAATGCTGAATAAATTAAATGGTGAAGTATTTAAATAAATGGTCTGTTGTTATTGTGAACCACATTAAATTAGTGTTTGCCTCTATGGTAATGATGTTGCTTTAAAAGAGTTTCTGCTGGTTCAGGCTTTTCCTGACAAAACAGAAGTGTTGTGCTTAAGATGTTCAGTTCAAAAGCATCTGCGTGGTTCCTGGGCCAAAACCCGAAATCAATGGAAATCTTGTTGGCTGGCTAACATGGAGCTGGATTAAGTGGCATTTGGAGCAGAGGGCTCTTGCAGGCTGAATTGGAACTACTGAAGAATTTGCTGGGTGATGCCCTCTGCCCTGAGCTGGAGGTGCAGAGGTGTGTCAGAGGCAGGTCAGCATCCTGCAGTGCTGCCTCCTCCCCACTCATTGGTAATCTGGATTATCAGATGTGGCTCTCAGGTGCTGGTGACAGCAGCAGAGAGGTGGCAGGTGGTGGGGACAGCAGCAATGGCTTGAATCATGCCAGAGGTAAACCCAGCACAGCTGAGGACTCAAAGTCTTTGGTGGTGCTTTTGTGTGCAGACAGCTCCTTAGTGCAGGCAGAAGGGATGAGACGTGGTCCCAGACTCCCAAGCAGCTCTGTGATGTGGGCAGCAGAGATGAGACATGGTCCCAGACTCCCAGATTACAGCTGGATGTATTTTGCTATTGAGGAATCACTGTGATATCACAAATAAGCTGTGGAGGGGCTTAAAAGTCTCTCTTTGCTGATCTCATTACAAGTTAAGATAACAAATGGTCTCTCTTTTATATCCTTTATATAAGGGAAAGACCTGCTTTTAAAGGTGAAGACCTCAGCAGGAACTAAAGTCCCTTATATATATAAATCAATTATGAAGCAACTTTAGTTGTCTAGCTTTTGGATATAAGTTCTTATCTGATCACCTCCCCCAGTCACAGTATTTCTTTGGAAGGAAATTTTTTTATGACACTGTTTTCAGAGCTTTAAAACCCAGAAATAATGTCACAGTACCCAACGAAAAATAAGAAATAAATTCTATATGTGTGTGTATATATATGTGTATATATATACACACCTTTTTGGTCCTGAAGTACATCTGGATACACAGTAACACATCAGCTGAGCCTTGCAGACTAGTCCCAGATGGCTCCTGGAGCTTCCTGAGCGAGGAGTCTGCAGGCAGGACTCCTGCTGAAGAATTTCTGTGAAAGGAGAAATTTCAGCTTCCAAAGCAGAGAGCAGAGATGTGATGGAGCTTCTGAAGAAAATCCCACAAGATTGTGGCTCTCTCTCATTCTGTGATTTCCTGGGAGTAGATGAGTCTGTTATCAAACTACACATTCTTACTCACAGTTTTATCAACCTTTAAGGAATATAGATTTGTCATTTCCCTGAAAAGTCCATCAAACTACAGCAGCAGATGGGGATCAGCAGGATTTAACTGAACCACTGGAACACAGGTCCTTCATGTACTTGCTTTGAGCTGCTCTCTTTGACACTGCATTTTGGGGCTTTTTATAGCAGAGGGATGCAGGCTGGGTTTGTTTTATTGGGTTTCATAGTACTTTTCCAGCCTTTCCACTTGAAAAGATGAAGTACCAATAACACAGAGGTGTCTGTGTGACTCTCCACCAAGGCCAGACCAATAACTCTGGGAAAAGGGAATGGTCCCAGTCAGTGCTTGAGGATTACAGCTTACATACTCATTATTAAGAAAATCAAAAACCCAGAAAAGACCACTCCATGCTTGTGGTGTTGGTGTTTGTATGTCAATTCACAGTGATCTTTTGTGCATCCAGGATATGACTTAAAAAAAAACCAAAAAACCCCCAGCATGAATTTGAAATGCCCAGTGATGATGAAACCATCTGTTGGGAAGTTTTTCTGATGTTACTTCTCCCAGTTACAAAGCACAGCCCCTTCCCAGTTCAAATTTGACAGCATCAGCTTCCAGTCACCAGCTCTTTTTATCGCTCTGTCTGTTAGATTGAGGAGCACTCCCTTTCTGCAGTCCTGTACCCTGTCTGAATACATCTGGATTGTCATTAAGCCATCCCTTAACCTTCTCTTTGTTAAGCTAAGCGTATTGGGGTCCTTGAATCTGTCACTATAAGGCATGTTTTGCAACGCTTCAGTCATTCTTGTGTGCCCTCTCCCATTCATCACCATCCTTCTTGAGTCGCAGGCACCAGGAAATAGCTGCAGTGTCCCCCTAGATGTTACACCAGAGATATTTCACTCCACTACTTTATCAAGTTTCCAGCATTGTGTAAGAGGATCCCTCCTCCCTGCAGTGAAATCCTGGTTCCTAGAACTGTGGCTTTGTGTGTGCCCACGTTAAACAGACCAGAGTTCGCTTCCATCTGGTTCACGGAAAGCGCATCCAACATGCCAGCTGTGGTCCGGCTCCAAATCTCATCAGCAAACTTTGACTGTAATGAGTTTTGATTTTCTACCGCTTGCTAAAAATGATGAACCGAAACGCAGCCACTCGGGATGCTCCTCTGATATGTTTAAACATATCAGCAGGGTTTTCATCCGTTTAGCGCGTGCCGTGTTGATTTTACATTGTTTTAGCTTCCTAATAAATCAGACAACATTAAGTTAAATGCCTCGCAGAAGTCAAACGTAACAGTGTTGATGAAATGTACTAAATCAATCAAATCTTTAATCACATTCTTGAAAAATTATATCAATTTCGTCTAATAAGATCTATTTTCCATTAACTCGTGTTGATTGTAATTAGTTATTCTCCTTAAATTGTTATTAATCAAGTCCCTTATCAGCTCTTCCATTATTTTTTTCACAGAATCAACATCAAACAATCAGATTTATAATTGCGCAAGTCATCCTCCTCATCGACATTTATGCATTGGCACAAACTCAACACTGCTTAGGTCTTCTGGAAAACTCTGTGCCGGTCTGGGGCGCTCCTGGGACGGATTTTAAAACTCACAGCACTGAATATTGAGAGCTGCTGATCAAAAAAAAAATCCTCTAGCTGCAGCAGCAGCTGTTTAACATCCTGAGTTGGAACAGAAGATATTCCACATCATCATATTACATGGCTATTTCACTTAGCATTTTTTCCCCCCAAAATAGAGAAATTAAATAGTCGGTGTCTGCTTTTTATGCATTCTTTTTTTAATGTCTGCTGTTCTGTCTAGACAACTACTTTTAGTCTCTTACATCTAAAGAGCACTTCCCTATTGCCCTCAACCCTGCTAGCCACAGGTTTCACCTAACAGCCTTCTGCTTGGGGCTGGTTTATGTTCATTATCACTCGCTTTCCCTTCCTTCCTTTCTGTGAGTTTACCTACTCTCACTCCCCTTTGAGCTTCACTTTTTAGCCAGAATAACCTTCTCTTTCCCAATGTTGAGGTTTTACTAGATTTCCTAGAAGCCAGAGTGCCTTTAAACCAGGAGTTGTTAAATATCATTCACATTTTCTCTTTAAAATCCTCCAGGTGACCTGGCTTACAACACTGAAAAGCAAAGGGACCTACTGTCAGTTCAGGCTTTCTTCTGTCTGTGCCCAGCATGTATGATTGAAACAGGGTCACCTCTGTGCTGGCTCTAGCTGGTTTTTGGATCTGTGAACAGTCCTCCAACTGTCAAGATGATCCTGTCGAGGATCCTCCTGGTTTTGGTTAGAAAATACTCTTTACAACATTTAGAAAATCCCTAAAGCAGCAGCATGAGCACTGCAGCTCACATCATTCGAGTTGAGGTTCCCCTGGAGAGCAGAGGGAAATTTTCTTGAATATGATATGTGACTAAGGAGCTAGTAGTCCCTGTTTTCTAGCGAGGGCTGATTGTCTGGAGAAACACCTTCTTTTGGCTTTATTTATATTTGAAGTCACTTTCCCTTCAGTTTCTAGTGGTGCTTGGAACGCAGCAATGTCACTTCTGATATTGATTGTCCCTCCTGCACCTTCTTTGTCCACTCAATTCTTTCTAAATAGGTTAAAACTATTGATTTTAATATTCCAGGCACATGGATTTTTCTCCCTAAGTTTAAGTCATGCTCTCCAGATAGAATTTGTACTCATAAATTAGTCACTCCCAGTTTTTTGTGTTGCTCAGACTCTGCACTGCTATACAGGCAATTAATGTCCCTCTCCTCACTTCCTTAAGTGTGTTCATTAGTTCTTTTCTCAGCAGCTTCATTTCTTATTTGGGCAAGGGATGGGGATGGATGCTGAAAGATTTCTGTGCTTCTTCTTCACACTCTCCAGTGCCTTTTTCTGCTCACTCAGTGCAAGTGTCTAGCTCAGGACAAGCTGTGCTGACCCCATAACACAGAATCATAGAATCACAGAGTCATAGAATCATAGGATCATAGAATCATTCATGTAGGAAAAGACCAAACCCCAGGAGTCCTCTAGATGTGGCTGCAGCTGCGCTCGGTGCCTGAGGATGAGCCTATTCCTGCTCTTGAAAATAGCCCTTCCATCTTCTTTAATCTGTCAGAGTATTTAGGGGCAAATCTGTAAGTGGAGAAGTGGTGAAGTACAGGAGAACAGAAAGTCTGTAAAATAAAAAAAGCTACAAAATGCCTCCTGGTTGCTCTGAATTACACATCCTTCCTGTTGGGAGATGTTCAAGGTTGTCTTTTTCTCTCCTCCTGGATACTCGCCTTCCTTTTCTGGGATGCCTCTGCTGTGGGTTTATGGTTATTTTTCTTTCCCTTTCATTGCCTTTCGAATGATTTCTTTGCTGCCTCTTAAAATTCAGGACATGACGAGCGAGGTCCACCCTTGGCTGTGCAATGTAGGAATGGGAAAGGGATATTTGGTCTGTAGTAGAGGTCAGTGCCTTCTGCAGGACAAGCATCATCCCAAACCCCTCGGGGTGGTTTCCCCGTTTGAGCCCAGCGCAGATTGACAGTGTGGTGTCTGCAGGGACCCTGCACAGTCCCCTCTTCCTCACAGCCCTGGTCCATCATTTGTGCAGAGCCAGAAGCTTCACTGGGACAAAGTGGGCTTCCCTGCCTCCTGCCAAAAAACGTTGAAGCTGTTCTGAGTAAAACCCTGAGCTGCTCATTTCCTTAATGCGGTTGGTGCTCAGCTCCATAATGAATTTCATTTATAAATTGTAGCTTCTACTTTTCTTTCCTTCTTTCTTTTTCTTCCCCCCCCTCCCCCCCCGTTAAAATCTCTAAATTTCATTAGTTTGCACTTACAAAAATAAACCTGGCATCAAGTAGTGAGCTCTCCTTAGATTGTGTCATCAATTTACCCTGCTGCTGAAGCAGCCCCGTGTCACGCCTGGCACCGTGACAGCACCCAGCTTCAAAACTGCAGCTGCCTGCAGTCACCTGCCCTGCCTGGGAGGGGAGAGGAACTTTCATGGACTTTTCTGATTAGGAACTTTGGTTTCAAGGTTTCAGGGGGGGGAAAAAAAAAAAAAAGGGGGAAGTTGATTGTAAATTTAATTCCTGCATCTTAGTCATTTCTGAACCACGGGTCATTAACCACACATTAGTGCTGCCACCCATTTTTCATAGGAGCTGCACCAGCGACACGGAGTGTGGCTGCTGCATCCTGGAGCATCCTGCCTGTGGCCCGTGGGCTTCTCAGGGTGGTGGGGGGCACCCATAGCCTCGATTTTCACCAGGCAAATCCCAGAGGAGAGCCAGAATGGTGGTAACCCTGACTGCGAGTGTGACTGATAAATATCCTGGAAGTGGTGACTTCTCTGTATTTTATATTAAAACACTTCCTTGTCTTATAAAATATCATCTCCATTTCTTATCCTCTCCCAATCTCCTGTTCATTTTTAACCCCTCCATCTAGCAAAGGTTGAACAGTTTCGTGCTCCAGGCATGTGGTCAAGGACTCACCCATCCCTAACAGAACCAGAACTATTTGTTGCCAGAGCAAACTGAGGTTTCCTTTTAATCAAAAAAGTCACGCGTGTCCAGCAGTGTGAAAGATAAATCTGTGAGCATGCGAAAGACCCGTCCAGAGACACTCCCAACACTGACCAGAGCCACAACACCGGCCATGTCAGTCTGTCCAGGCTTGACAAACAGCCTGAGCAAGCCGGCTCCTTTAATAGGCTTCAGGGGTTTATTTATAGCCCCTTGGAATAAGTGCAGCTGATACTTAAGATCGGTGGATTTAATGACAGCGGGCTGGCGAAAGGCCAGGTCTGCAAATAGTGCCACTAAAAGTCTTCTCCGCCATAAAATTTGTTTAATGTAAGGAATCATATCATGCAGGGGTTTGTCTGCCATTTTTATAATTAGCAGGAGAAATCTCCAGTTTGCTCCTAAGAGCAGCCAGCGCTTTCTGTGACACGGCTGTCTTTCGGTGGTGGTTT